CTGAGTGTGTGGTCATCTGTTCTAGAAAGGCATCATCCAATTCCTTAGCTTGACTTGGGGGTCTGTAATAGACTCCCACTATAACATCCCTGTTGTTTCCTTCCCCTTTAATTTTTATCCATTGATGTCCAAAACATTTGGAGGTCCAGCTATTCTCTACCCTAGGTTGTTTATTTACTTTAGACCAGGGGTAGGCAACCTAAGGCCCGGAAGCCGGATGCGGCCCCCCCAAGGCCTTTGGACTGGCCCCAGGCCGGTCCTGCCGCCACCGCTGCCACCTGCCATGATGATGATGATGATAATAATAATAATAATAATAATAATAATAATAATAATAATAATAATAATTTTTATTTATATCCTGCCCCTCTGCCAGGCAATCGGGGTGGTGTACAACATCACAAAACGTCAAAGCAATACATCAAATTAAAATCCCATCCCTCCTTCACCCACCCACCCATCCCCCCAAACATACAAGCAAATTAGATAACAGTAATCAAAAATACAGTTTAAAAAGCATAATTTTTTTTTTGTCTTGTGGTATTGATTATTGTTGTTATTACTTGTTCTTGGGGTTTTCTTGGCAAAATCTCCACAGGGGTTTTGCCATGGCTTTTCTGGGGCTGAGAGAGTGTGCATGCATATATTTTTATTTTTTAATTTTTTATTTTTTTATTTTTTATTTTTTATTTATTTATTTTTGGTGCTTCGTCCCCCCAATTGTCTGAGGGACAGCAACCAGGCCCCCAGATCAAAAAGGTTGTCTAACTCTGCTTTAGACTCTGTCTCTAACCATCCCAGCTTCAACCTTGTCCACCAATAGTACCTTCACAAGATCTATGACAGATTTATTCCACCAGAATGGAGTGCTTGACAGAAAATTAGTTCCTATCTCTGTCATATACCACATTGTTGTTGTTTTGTTGTGTGCCTTCAGATTGTTTCCAACTTATGGCAATACTAAAGTGACCATATCATGGGGTTTTCTTTGCAAGATTTCAGAAGAGATTTGCTGTTTCCTTCCCCTGAGGCTGAGAGCATGTGATTTGCCCAACTGATGGTGATTCTGTATTGTGGGGGGTTATTTCCATTTTCTTTCCCTACCCTCCCCAGCTAAATCTTACAATGACCCTTGATGAGTCTTATAGTTACTGAGAGAAAAAAAAAAATCTTTGCAAAGGAGATGTGAATGCTGGCTTTGCTTGCAAGATATGAGAAAGCATCTGGCTGAATGTGCAATTTGGGATTTTACATAAAGGGATTTAATTTGAGCTTCTTGTATTTCAGCACATTTGCTTTGATCCAGGGGTTTGCCTATTCCATGACTTTGAAGATTTGCTGACAGAAAAACACGTGGCAATATGCATTGGCTCCACTGAGACAGGTACATTTGGCTCAGTCACATACACATAACTGTCTTTTGAAGAAAGGGTCCTCCAATTTTCCTTAGGGAATAGGGTTTGCCTAGGTTTTCCCATTCAAGCCAAGGACCAGCCACCACAGCTTCAGAACTCATATGATTAGGGTGCCCCTCAGAGAAAGATGACTGCTACTGCTATTTGTGTTTCTAGAGCATTTATTCTAAAGCACATTGGATTTTGTAAAATTCTTCACACAATAAAAGGTATAGCCTGTCCCCACATTAGTCTGCAAAGATCAGAAATAGTTGCTTACCTGAGGCAACTAATTCATTCCTTTATTGTCTATTATAATTAATGGCTTTGACTGAGAAGGCAAAGCAAGACCACTTCTGCCCTAATAGTGTGAGAGAGGGTAGCAAATCTGGAAAGGCAGAGGAAAAACAAAGCTTGGAGCATATTTGAGAATAATGAACATATTGCCATTATAAGAATAATAAATATAATGAATGGATTTCTGAGAGCTAGTCTACATGTAAGTGTATTATGTGAACTGCTGTGGATTTACACATATTCATATCCCTGTTTGTCTTCACTTTCCTGTGCAAATTTACATCTGTTTGCCCACTCTCTGCCAAAAATGTGCACCCTTTGGAAACCATGTGTATCCATGTGAAGTGGACAGATGGTCACATGTTTGATAATGCACATTCTCCCAGATGCTCACAGATACTTTAGTAAAACCCAAAAGTCCTTTTTCAGTGGAATTTATGGAGGTTTTTTGCCCCCAGCGCAAAAAGCTCAAATTCGTCCATATTATGTGTAGCAAGATTGACATCTATTCAATTCAAATGAGGTGAATTTTATTCATAAAGGCAAGCCCTTAGTCTCATCCTACCATGCTCAGTTATGTATGGATTCAACATGTCTTTATATTCATCCTTCTTTAAATTGTTTTCCAAGTTCTGAAGGGTCAGGACCTATATGTTCCAGGCAGCCTATGCTAGCCAATTTTCCATAGATCCTCCAGACGACTTCCACCACCACCAAACAGAGGGACAGACTAGAAATACCTTTTTGTTTTTGTCCCTTGTGCAGAAAGGCTCAACGATTCAGTTATGGAGGTTGTGAATTTTGTTCAATTTGTTTTTTATAAGAACTTACAAAAAATATGCATGTTTTCATACTTACAATGAAAACAATCTGAGACTCTTTTCTTTTCTTTTTAAAAATGAGTATGGGAGAAATCACAACAGAGAAATTTATTCATCCAGGACTTGGACTTTGAGTGTGTCAAGATCTGAGTCCCTCAGCTTGCCTGCCATAATTAATAGAGGCTCACTTTGCTTGCTTGCTTGCAACATTTTACATTGTATTAATACTGGATGATGGGACATGGAGTTACAAATTGCTATGGATCAGCAGCTTTGAGTAGCACTGATTTATAGCATTTTTAACTTTTTGAGGCCATGTATATAGTAGTTCTCCCACTTACTGGACAGGTTAGGGGCTGTCCAACAAGTTAGGAGCACTGTCAAAAAACAGTAATCATTGAGATGCAAAGCCCATATAAATGTATAGTACAGTCTGAGGACCTTATCACATGGGGTAAAAAAGCTGGCTTACCTTTCCTGAAATGAATTTTAATTTGGGCTGTATCTAGACACTATCATATGTAAATCACCACCGAATCCTCTGGCTGAATATAGCCCAGATGTAGTCCAGGTCCCAGGTATGCTCAGCCAGCCCTTTTTCGAAGTCAGGAGTTTTCTGACTTTAAAAAATGGCCACCAAAGTGCTCCGGGGATCCAGGCTGCATTCAGGCTGTTTTCGGCTGGTGGATTCAGTGGTGATTTACATATGATAGTGCCCAGATGCATCCCAAATTGGAATTCAGTTTAGGAAAGATAAGCCAGCTTTTTTGCCCCATGCTGTAAGGTCCTGAGTCTCATTTATCCAGAGTTCTGAAATCCAGAATATTCCAGAATCCAAAATTATCCACATTAATGACTGTGATAGTGACACCTTTGCTTTCTGATGATTCAATGCACCCAAACTTTGTTTCATGCACAAAATTATTTAAAACATTGTGTATAAAAATTACCTTCAGATTATGTGTACAAGGTGCATTTGAAACATAAATGAATGCCATGTTTAGACTTGGATCCCATCTCCAAGATCTCTCATTTTGAATATGCAAATATTCAAAAATATGAAAAGCTCCAAAATCCCAAACACTTCTGATCCCAGGCATTTCAGATAAGGGAGACTCAACCTGTATTTTGTATTACAGTATAAGCACAATTATAACTATGAATACCTATACAGTGCTGTATTATAAGCACACAATGATACTACAAATGACCTCTATACAGTACAGAGACTGAATGAAAAGATGATACCAAGTTATTTTTTTTAAAAAAAAGCAGTGGTCACAAAAGCATTGTGCAATGTGCCATCTTTTCATTAGCTGGTTAGGTCTGTGGGTTAAATGGTTCTGCCCAAGAGAAAAGAGTTGAAGTCAGAGTTAGTGAGTCAGCAGTAATGGAATAATTTGGGGTAATAGAGCTGGTGTGACTTTTTCAAAAAAATAGTCTCTGCTATTATGGTTATAGTCCATAGAGGCAAGGGAAATATGTGGAGACTGTTATTTCTATAGAAAAAGTAGCCCAACAACCAATCTTGTCTCAAAGTAAAACTAGTAACCTCACTGCATTGGAACCAGATTTGATCATACTTCAAGCAGACCCACTGAAATTAGTGGGACTTAAGTGAGTTATGGTCCAATTGCTACCTCCCTCCCTTTATTTATATCCCATTTTTTCTCCCAGACTAGGACTCAAGGTGGTTTACAAAAGACAGGCAATTACAATAAAAATACACATTGTTTAAAATATGCAGAGGTTAAATCTAAAAAGCATTAAATTAACAGCAGAATCTAAACAGTTTAAAATATTATTGTAAGGAGTTTATCACACAATTCTCATTCTAATTGCAATCATGCTAATAAAGGAACCTGAACATATATCAGTTTTGAAACACTCCTCTCATACGTCTTTGCAATGACACAAATGGTGCCTCACACACTCTCTTGCACTCTTCCATACTTCTCCCTAACCCTACCTCCCTGCCTTATGCCCTACTCAGTGTGCCTTTCAAAGAAAATGAAGAAAATGCCATGTTTGTTGTTGTTATTGTGTGCCTTCAGGTCATTTCTGACTTATGGCAACCCTAAGGTGAGCCTATCATGGGGTTTTCATGGCAAGATTTGTTCAGAGGTCATTTTCCATTGCCCTCCCCTGAAACCACTGGGCTTTACAGCTGAGCAGGGAATTGAACCCTGGTCTCCAGAGTTGTAGTCCAACACTCAAACCACTATGTCATGACATCAAACTAAGGTTTGGTTTGAACAGGAAGAAAACCTTGGTTTTCAGAGGCCTTTTTTCTTGTTTGGAGGGATTCTCTGACTTAATCTGTAAAAATCAGGGGAAAAAAACTCTAAGAGAAAAAAGAAAAGATCAGAAAAAAAAACCCCTAAGGACCTTATCCCACAGGGCCAAAAGCAGCAAGAATCCACATGGAATCAGGCGCTATAGCGCTATAGTTTTCCGGGTGATCCCACGACGTCGCTCAGAATCCGCTGAGAATCAGGCGCTATAGCGCTATAGTTTTCCGGGTGATCCCACGACGTCACTCAGAATACAACAAGAAACCGCTCGGAATGCAGCATCATTCGGGTTCTTTTGTATGCCTGTTTTCATCGGGCGTTGCAATATCGCTACCTTATCCATAGCGCTATTATAGCGCTAGCGCCATATTATACTAGCGCTATAGTACTGCAATGATGCTCATATCGGTTTCTTGCCACTTTTGAGAGCAGCGTGGGATAAGGTCCTAAGAGAGATTATCTCCTCCTATTCCTTAAAGCCCTCAGGAGTGTTCATCAAAATCTAATAGGTTTAATGTGGTTATTTTTAATGTAATGAATGAAGCTTTGTTAACCACTTTTCCAGTGTGATTTAACTGTGGAGAAGCAAAGGTGAAAGAACATCCCCCTTGATTGTGATGATTTGAACTTATCCACCAGTTGCCATTGGAAGAGAACTAGTCTGCCTATCTCAGATTAAAAACAACAAGCATTACAACACACTCACTGATTCACAGAGAGAGATGGGGAAAAGAGGGAGGGAGAAGAGAGAAAGCATGCCAGACAGCTCTGTATTTCTAGTGGAGTTTTTCTTTTCTCCTGCCCTCTAACTATACACTTGCTCACTGACAGCGATTCATAGATGTTCTGAAGAACACATTCAAAGAAAACTTCTCAATGAGTCCCCTTTTGCTAGGAGGTTGTGCCTTCTCCCTATCACCGCCATACCAACATGAGCTTTGAAAGCCAGTTAAAAGTAGATGCTAAACAAAAGGAATCCTGCTGCTCTACTTTCCTATTGTTGCTTCTCAATGAATGGCTTTTCCATATGCCCCATTGTCCCCTATCTGGCACTTGTTAACCATGTTCTGCCTCCTGTTAAGTACAGATATCACGAACTCTGGAACAGCAATTTTATTCATTAGTTGTGAAAGGAGAAAATACTGACACCTCCTGATGGATATTTGCTTATTTCTGGCTTCTGGCTTTCTCTTTCTCTCTCCCTCTCTCTCCCTAAATACTGCAGTTTCAGTGAACTGAGTGATTGTCTTATGCCCTTAACAACAGTAGCAAGAAAAGAAGGGCTGCATGAATAAAAAATGAATGCTTTATTGATATAGAGTCATAGAATCATAGAGTTGGAAGGGGCCTCATGGGTCATCTAGTTCAACCCCTCCTCAACTCAGGACGTCCAGCTAAAATATCCTCATCAGATTGGGCATTTTCACATGGGGCTTTAGGCAGACACTAGCCTACCTCCGTCCAGCCCCAGTCCGGATCCTTTGCAAAGTTTTTCAGACGACATCGCAGCAAGCCCCGCCCCATCCAGTGCCATCCCCGGCGCTAGCCGGCGTCAGTCCGTGGTCTTGCTCGTGTGTTCACACGACATTGCAGCAAGCCCCGCCCCATCTAGCGCTAACTCCGGCATCAGTGCCGGAGTTGTAATTCCTTTTTTAAAAAGGAATTAAGTTGCCGCAGCCAGAGCCATTCCGGAATGAGCTGAAGGATCCATTCCGGAATGGCTCCAGGCGGCTTTGGACGTCTGTGTGTGAAAACGTCCGTAGTCCAGTCTCTTTCTGAAGATGTTCAGAGAAGGAGACCTTACCTCCTCTCTAGTCTATTAACTCCATTGCTGAACTATTCTTACTGTCAAGAAGTTCCTTCTAATGTTCAATTGAAATCTACTTTTCTATAATTTCAAACCATTAGACCTGGTCCTACTCTCTGGGGCAGCAGGAAACAAGCTTGCTCCCCTCCTCTCTTGTGGTATTTAAAGAGTACAGTCATGTCAGCCCTCAGTTTTCTCTTCACCGAGTTAAACATATCCAGCTCCTTCAACCTTTCCTCATATGTTTTGTTCTCCATACCTCTTATCATCCTCATTGCCCTTCATTCCACTGTATGACTGTAGAATTCCACTGTGTAGCTTGATTTTTCTTTAAAATGCTGTATTTAAAATTATAATATCACATTATCTTCTTTGCCAGTTAGAGCAAAGGGAGAGTGGTACTCTCCAAGAAATGTTCTCTGTGAAGCATTAATACCTTATGTCTCCCTCCAAAAAAACTATGTTGATCAAAGACTTTAATGAAGTGTTAAAGATGTTCATCTTTGGCTACCAGGACATTGTGGTTTTAAAATGTATTAGCAGAGTTTAATTTGGGAGCATCCAACTGGTGGTTTAAATCCCACAGATTTCATTGCTAGTGTAAATTCAGTCACATTGGCATTTCTGTTTCCTTTATCACATTAACTTTGCCTTATGGTGTTTGTCAATTGTAGGCAGTATAAGCACACAGGGAAAGAATTGCAAACAGTTGTGTTGCTATTCATCTTGGGTTAATCAGCTTGAAAATAATATCGATTTTCATCTCATCAAAAGTGATGGTTTATGACTGCCCATATGGTGACTTTAGTTTGGAGTGACTGATGTGGAATCATTTAGAACTTTAAAAGGGGGAGAGTCAACCCATATTTTCACCCATCACAGATGATGTTAGATCGCTATCTTTAGATAAAAGGTTTTGCATCAGTTTTGATGACTATGAAGTATAATAGAACAGAAACCTAAGAGCTACATTTCATCTTTTTGCAAGATATTAAGAAAACAATATAAAGTGGGAGAAATCTGTCTAGAATTTTGCCCAGGCTTTTAAAAGGGATGTTTGTGCACTGAAAAGAATTGGATTGTGATGTAGATCAGAAGTAAATAAGTTGCTCTGAGTCTTGATGATGAAGGGAGGGCAATCATATAGACACTGCTTATCAGTCTTCTCATTGTCTTCTCAGGCCCAAATTAGATGTAACGGTTGTAGATCTGTACGTTTGAAGCTAGATTTGTTCCAACAAAAAGGCGTGTGTTGTGATTTTAATAACAAAGGAGGGCGGTGAAACACTGGAGGCTTCTGGCTCACACATTAGTGGTGCAATGAATCCATTCTAGGTCTTGGTCTGAATTTTAAAGGAGTTGTCCAAGGTGTTGAACCTCTTGTGTGGATAGAATCTGATACACAGAGTATATTCTGTCCACTTTGGCAGACACAGAAGCTATCAGCTGCCACTGATGTGAGTCAGGAATGGACAGCTCCCAGCCTTCTGCTTGCCTTTCCTGATCTCTGCCTAAATATTGGGGGTGGTGGTGGTGGTGGTGGGAGTATGTGAAGTATCCCATAAGTCAAGGTGATCTCTTCAGCAACTCTGAAGGCAAGTGAGCATATGAAACCGGCTTTTAAGTAGTCAATTCATTGGTATAGTTAGCTTAGAATTCTCTACACTGACTGGCAGGGTTTTCCATGGTTTCAGAAAGAAATCTTTCCCAGCCCTCTCTAGTGGTGCTAGGGACTGAAGCTGGGACATTTTGGGATAAAATGCATGTACAACTAACCTGTGGGTTATTTTCTCTCCACTAATGTTTGTGCTAGACATGGAGAGGTGATCTGCACATATAATTGAAGATTCACCGGTATCATTAATATGTTGAGAATAATACTTATCTATCTTGCAGGATTGGTGTTAAGTGGCATGTTTAGAACACTCTAAAGTGCTATATAATTGTTACACATTATCAGGACATGAGATAAAATGAGGCTTTAAGCTACACATAAATGCAAAGAAACATACTAACTGAAACAGAAGTTTTTCTAGTTTGGTAGAAGAGGTCTTGAAGAAACATGTAAACATCTGGGACATCCAAAAGAATACTGCAGTCTGTGTAAGAATATTGCAAACAAAGGTGCATTATTGATGATGACGTGGTGGTGGTGGTGGTGGTGGTGGTGGTAGTGGTGGCTATAAAATAGTTATCATCATCCCTCCTCCACACTCTTTTCCTCTTCTACCACCATTAACTGTTTAATAATCTGTTGTAAATGCTACCCAGATTTGCTTTTGTTTTCGAGATATTCTGCCAATATAATTGCTCCACTAGTTCTAACTGTTTTGCATTGTTTGAGGTTCAAGAATTATTTTTAAAAGGAGTCTTCATTTATTTTTAATTGTTTTAGTTATGTTTTAATGTTTTGAATGTTTTTATCCATTGTACATCATCTCGGGAATCCAGGTGGGCTGAGAGGTGATAAAGAAATGCCATGAATCAGTGAATTAATTATAAAGACTTTCAAAGCTCCAGAAAGAAGCACAGTACACACATAAAGGTGTGTGTGTGGGGGGGGGGAGACTGTCATTCTCTGGATATTGCATGTTTGTGTCACTTCTACCTGTGCTTGTACCCAAATGAACATATTCAAAGATATTTTGGATGGAAATGTTTGTTGGTTTCTTCCTTTTCTTTTGGTTTCTTCCTTTTCTTTTGCCACATTTTTGCACCATTGGGGCCTTAATGACTCCACACCTTTCTTTGCAAAACTCCATTTCAAACAGAGTTTGAAAACAGGTGGTGCAGTGGTTAAATGCCTGTACTGCAGCCACTCACTCTAGACCACAAGGTTGCGAGTTCAATACCAGCCAGGGCTGAGGCTCGACTCAGGCCTGCATCCTTCCGAGGTCGCTAAAATGAGTACCCAGATTGTTGGGGGGCAATCAGCTCACAGTTGTAAACTGCTTAGACATCCCATAGCGTGATATGAAGTGGTATATAAATGAAGCTGCTTTGCTTGCTTTGAATGTCAATTAAATTGTCAGGAATGACTGGTGTAAAATTAGACTGTTATTGTGTTGTAGTGCATCAGTGAAATGACACTATGTGCTTTAACTCTATGATTGTTAATTAAAAAAAAAGAGAGGA